AATGGATGGAAAATGGAGGATGCTGAACGGGTGGTCCGTGATATGGCCGAAGGCCTGCCCTCAGGAAACCTTAAGGTAGAAGGGGCGGCGTCCCCTGCAGCCGACCCTGAGCCGACCACGCGTAGGCTTTCTGCGCTCTAATATGGGGCGAAGGATTTGCGGATTTGTTTAATAGCATTTTTTGACGATTTTGGTGAGAAAAAAAGAGTGCAGATTTCTGGAGACGCCGGGCCTGGAGAACGAGTCGGCCGCTAGCCCAGGAGGTCGGATGAAAACCGCGGGCATCCCCGGCATTGCCTGCATCATCCGCATTCAGGGCGGACATTGATGCCGGTGGCAGGGGGGGGGGGGCCTAAGTCTGCCGAAAACGCCAAAAACAACGTTTTTTCAGGGTTTTTGGAGGGGAACAGTCAGGCCTCAACAAGTGTTTTTCACGACTTTGGCGGTTGAACATTTGGAGACCTCCTAACAGTGAGGGTGCACTGGTCTCCGGCCAATGACTTTCCGGTGGCCGGCAGTTTCGCGGAGCGTCTAAATTTACATATATTGTACATATGTATAAACATATCTATATATACTGTATCAAAACAAGGTGGGCCGAGAAGTTTGGATGGGGGGTATGATTCGCGGGCATGATTCGACTTATGATAGTAGTAGCAGTAGTAGTAGCAGCAGCAGCAGTAGTAGTACCTGGTGTTGTGAGGGGGGTTGGTTCGGGGGTATGATTCGTAGTACGGTTCGGGGGTATGATTCGCACGGGTCGAACTTGCATCCTTTACTAAACCTTGGGCACCTGGAAAATGCACGCGCCCATATGTTTTTTTTGTTTGTTATTTTATTATTAAACATATACTGTATTATGTACATACATGTGTGCAGAACGATCTTGGCTGGCATGCCCTCTTGCCGGCGGCCCTTCCGGGAGAAAGAGTGAACACATCTTCAGGGTTTGCGGAATCATTTGTTATGAGACGTCCATGTGTTTTCAGCTCACAATCTTGGAACCAGCATCTTCTGTGCATCCCAAATTATGATAAGGAAGGCTTCTTAGACACCTGGGTCACGTTCAAAACATTTCCCCAAGACCCCTCCCAAATGGCAAACTACTAGAAATTAGCAGTGGTCCAAGCGATTTCACCTGGAAACAAAGCAACGGACTCCTGAAATTGTTTGTGACAGCTGATGCATGCTCCCTCCAATGCTCGTCTGTCCAAACCGCTGTTTCGGTCTATTGCGTGCAACCGCTTGCACCAAGATAGTGGCATGCGAAAAAAAACCAGCAACATATCGCACTCCGTGGCTTCCCATGGAAAGCACCTTGGGCACTGTAGACTGCCCCGTCACCAAAGGAAGTGGCGGTTGCCCCGAACCTCAAAATGAGGAGACCACATAGAACATTGACAATCAGGTTCCCTTCTTGCGGGCACAAGCGAGTGCGTCAGCCCAGTGAAGACTGCTCAGGCTTCCCTCTGGCCATGGTACCCGCACTCATTTGTCCGCATCCGCGCCCCTGGCACGTGTGCAAGCGAGCGAGGCAGTGGGCAAGCAGTCAGAAACAAAGCTTAGTCATTTCCAAAAGAGTGGGGCTGCAAAGCCATATTGTCCTGTATCCCAAAAGCCGGTGGAAAATCGCAAATCAGTACAAACTGTGAGACATGATCTCAAAGCAGTGTGTTAAAAAAGACTGATGCTCAGAATGCCCAAGCCAGAAGAAAGTTTGTTTCCCTTCCGGGCCGGAATCCCCGAAAGGCTTGTCGGATTGCAGTCTCTGCACAGACAGTATGGCCACTTCCATTGAAAGGCAACCGGTTTCTGCAACTCGCCTCACATATTGCACCCTGACTTGTTCTGCTCAACTCAATCAAAGGCTGCAGGCCTCGAAACCGTCATTTTGTGCTCGAAGATTCGAAAGAGCTGGTTGGCGAGCTGCCGAACATGGTGTCCTCAGTCTGGCATGCCCACTCCCAAAATGATCTGGCCACATTACTGTAACTCCCAACTCAAACTGGAAAATTGAAACAGGGAAAACCCTAGCACAGCATCTCCATCACAGGTTTACCCCCTGCGTGAGCTCAGTATGATTTGCCCAGAGTGATGCAAGTGAGCTGGAGGACGATGTAAGGAGCGTGGACACGACCTCGCCGTAAACACCCCACGTCGCTTTAGTTTGCCCGGCAACATGCACATCCCGTCAGCAGGCTGCTTTGCACGTCCAAACCCCGAGTAGTGCAAAAGAACCATGGCCTTGCTACAAGTAGTAAAGACCTTGACAAGAAAATATAAGCCAGTTGGAGCTAAGACCCAGTCCATCGCTTATGCTAGCTGCAATGCACATCTACGTTTTTTAAGCAACCCTCTCAAGTCACTGCCGGACTGCCTCTGGATGTACCTGACGCATGAAATTGTCCACAGTAGCACTTGGCATCAGGCCTGGCTCACTTGGTTCCCAAGGCTTTCGCAGGGTCAGACCCGGCAAAGACTTGGCTCGGTTCGGGTAGGTTTACGGCTTGGACCGCTTGGAAATTAGCTTGGGGCTTGCGGAAACCCACAGCACAAGAAGTGTAAGCTGCTCAGCTCCGAAGACACCGCGCAGTGTCCAAAGCAGGTAGCTGGCATTCCTACACGCTACATGTTACGTGGACCCATCTTTTATACTTGTATACGTGGACTCCAACGCGGGGTCTCTTGCCTAGCTCGGCATACATCTGCACATCTTACCAACAAGGGATAGTCTCAAAATCAAACTGGCCACCTTGGCTTTGCCGGACTTGTCTCTACTTCTTTGACGGAATGCGCATGTCCCACCCTAGGACATTGAAAGGAAAGGACGACCGCATTTTTTGGGAGAGTCCCCTTACTTTGAGACACGCTCATCTCCACTTGCGGGCTCGGGACTTCTGAGCCCCAGGCTTGCGAGTGCAACTTGGCCATGGGCTTCAGCGAGTGAAACGCCTCCGAAACTGGCAGTTGGAGGGAGGTCTCTGCGGAATTGGCTTCTGAAAATGCACCGTGGGAGCAACCCCAAGATGATCCCAGCAACAAGCTCCGCAAAATTCCAGACTTCTCACAATTCTGCCTTGGGCTGCCATGGTAGGTAATTAGCTCTGTCCCGTCCTGGTCGACCAAAGCCTCGCACGCATCGCTCCTGAGTCATTGAATTCATCGGATCCGGACACCCCGCAAAACAAGAAAAACATCTCAGTGCTTTGTTGATCTATTGTAACAAGTTGAACACTTTGAGTGGGATTTGATATAGGTCACAAGTCCAGTCTGAAAATCTAGTCACAAGTCCCGCCATGTTCACCCGGACAGCACAACTCTTGAAAGACACGGCATGGACAAGGCCAGGTACGAAAGCTGTTGTTTGACGAATTTGTGCTCAGATTTCAATTTTATGCTGAGCACTCATAGCCAAGTGTCTCTGACTCCATCATAGGCGGTGGAAGCTGAAAGCCATCGTCGCATAGCGCGTCTTGACCTCCAATCTGTTTCATGGCAGTGTCTGCATTGATTCGCCCCTGTGTAGCTACCGGCACTCTTGCAAAGCCGATGTTTCCAAGGTTGCTAAGCACGCACATGGAAGCCCTGAGCCGCGGCCATAACAAGCAACAGCCATGGCACATATCCTCTTCAATCCTTCAGCACTTTCAGTGTCATTTATTCCCTGTTCTGGCCAGTGGAAACCCCAGACACCCACCCTGCTAGTAACATGGTGCTACCCGCAAAAGTGAAGGATTCCGTCTACAGGGAGATCACCCCTATTCAAGCAGGGGGTTCTCTCTCTCTCCCTCTGCCGTTGCATCCATAAGGTCCCACTTCGCAAGCAGGGGTTTACCACGGTTTATTTTATGAATCCGGGGTTCACATTATACCTGGTCATCACCCTGTTTGAGTGGCTACCAGCCCACTGGCCTGCACGCGGCCTGATGATGGGTGCTGGCGGCATTCGCGGAAAGTGCCTGCACAGCGGTCTGCGGTTTGCTGAGTGGAGCCGTCCAACTCACAGGAGGTGTGCCACTAAAAAAGGGACCCCTCTTATGGTTGCGCAGGGGGGGCAACGAGGAAGTCACACTTCTGCTTCGCGGAGTACGACAGCTGTTGCACAACTTGAGACATCCAAGTGCACCTCTGGATCGCGTGTCGGTCATCATCTAGCAGGACTACCCCTCTGCCAGCACAACGTGACTCCCCAGACAAGGTGGTTTGGGACAATGGATGTCCCGTGCAAATGAATTTGGAACCAAGGTGAAGTCGTGCAATCTATTTTCAACCAAAGTGACCCACGGACAAGCCAACAACTTGCGCAAAAAACGGCAGAATGCTTGCACCTAAGCCCAGGGCTGCATGGTAGCGCGCGAGGGTGTGATGGGCTGGGCCGGCCGTGGAGGCATGTTCCAGCTCGAGCCAAAGCTGCAGGCGCAAGCTGCGACGCCAACCATGTACTGATTTAGAGCAGTAGCAACGGGAGCCATTGCAGCCTAGAGGCTAGTAGCGACCACTACTATTAGTGGCAAGGGCCATTCAGCGCCATGAATTTCCCATAGCTTCCTTGCTACGGCCGTGAATCAGGATAGGAAAAAGTGCATCCCGTCACCCCAGTTGAGCAGCGCCGAACACCCATTGAGCTTTGGTTCTACCAGAGTTCCGGATCACATTGGGTGTATACCTTTGAGATGGCAGTGCCTACATCATTGTGCCAAGGGAACGTATGGCCAAGGGCCGCTTGGGAGATTCGCGCTTGCAGCGAGATGTGGACCAATTTCACGCAAGCGGCAAAGAAGCATTCAATGGCAAGTGGCAACAAACAGGGCGTTCGGGCTGGGGGCTGCCCTATTCTTGAGCCACAGCCGAATGGGTTGCTGAGGTTCTCAAGCTGAATTAGCTCGACCTAAAACTCACCATGCTATGGGTGCGTCGGAGGAAATGCGGCCCAAAAGTGGTGGTTTTCCTTTGGTCCCCGTTTAAACCAAGGAGAAAAGGGCTGCCATCAAAAACGACGCCTGTCGCCGCCAGGGTCCGTGGAGATGATGCACATCCTGCTGGACCTGCGTAGGCTCCAAGCCACGCAGTGGACTTGGGAATGCAATGGATGGCTCTGAAACTTTTCAAGGACAAGCCCTGATATTATGGGTATCAGGGCATCCCAAAACCTTACCAGCTCATGCCGGCTCATGCCCTGGCATACTTTTACCACACGCGTGCTCACGCTTCGCTTCAGAGTCACGCAAGCCCTCCACAATGCACGAGGCACTCCCTTCAGCCCGCCCCAACATCCTAAGTGAAATCAGACAGAGGATCCTCGCAAAACACGTGGCGTGTCAGTTGCACAAAGCCGTCAATAGAAGCAACCCAGCCCGACCGCAGTTACAACTTCCAGCGTAACAATTGCAGCTAGAAAAGCTTCAGACGTTGCTGCGCCAGACTTGCGAACAACCATCATGGTCCGAATGGCGAGGCCTGCCTTTCTTGACCCAACACCCTACGGACGGAGTGCTTCAGGAACTGGCTGTTCGGCTGTCAGTTGACCGGTACACTTAGCTCAGCAGCAACTGCCAGGCGTGGGCTATCTGCAAAAGATCCAAGGTGGTTTGCGCCGCCCACTCACTGACTCACTGACTCACTGACTCACTGACTCGCTGACTCGCTGACTCGCTGACTCGCTGACTCGCTGACTCGCTGACTCACTGACTCACTGACTCACTGACTCACTGACTCACTGACTCACTGACTCACTGACTCACTGACTCACTGACTCACTGACTCACTGACTCACTGACTCACTGACTCACTGACTCACTGACTCACTGACTCACTGACTCACTGACTCACTGACTCACTGACTCACTGACTCACTGACTCACTGACTCACTGACTCACTGACTCACTGACTCACTGACTCACTGACTCACTGACTCACTGACTCACTGACTCACTGACTCACTGACTCACTGACTCACTGGACTCACGGACTCACTGACTCACTGACTCACTGACTCACTGACTCACGGACTCACGGACTCACTGACTCACTGACTCACTGACTCACTGACTCACTGACTCACTGACTCACTGACTCACTGACTCACTGACTCACTGACTCACTGACTCACTGACTCACTGACTCACTGACTCACTGACTCACTGACTCACTGACTCACTGACTCACTGACTCACTGACTCACTGACTCACTGACTCACTGACTCACTGACTCACTGACTCACTGACTCACTGACTCACTGACTCACTGACTCACTGACTCACTGACTCACTGACTGACTCACTGACTCACTGACTCACTGACTCACTGACTCACTGACTCACTGACTCACTGACTCACTCACTCACTCACTCACTCACTCACTCACTCACTCACTCACTCACTCACTCACTCACTCACTCACTCACTCACTCACTCACTCACTCACTCACTCACTCACTCACTCACTCACTCACTCACTCACTCACTCACTCACTCACTCACTCACTCACTCACTCACTCACTCACTCACTCACTCACTCACTCACTCACTCACTCACTCACTCACTCACTCACTCACTCACTCACTCACTCACTCACTCACTCACTCACTCACTCACTCACTCACTCACTCACTCACACCCACCCACCCACCCACCCACTCACTAAAGGGTTTAGCGGGACATGCGATCACTATAGAGCCGCTACCTACAGAGTACCCCGTTACCCCCTGGATCCCAGTGCCGGTTGGGGTAGTGGAAGTCGTTGAGAAAAGAGGTATAACTAGCAGCTTGCCATGTCACTTTGCCACGTCTGACCTGTGGTATCCTAAAGAAATACACTAAGCTACCCTTGCGAGAAACTACTGCCAGGTGGCTCCTTTTCACTTGCAAAGCAGCCTCTAACATCCAGTTCTGAACTGGATTCAACAACCCCCAAAGGGCCACATGCGTTGGTTCAACAGAATGCCCTTGCCACCCACATGCGCTTTCGCTCGTTTTACCCCTTTATTTGTGGAATCGCCATCAGTTGGGAAGAGCGTAAACCTTGGCTTCCCCACAGGCGTGAAGTGGATTTCCCCATGCTTCGGCAGGTGCACGTGCTGTGGTCCGGACCTCGCACATGGCCAAGGCTTTCATGTGTGTGTGTCATGTCACAAATAGGGTTTCGGATCCAGCCTCACTTTCTGAGTGGACTGGCCAGAAAAAGGCCTGGCCAGAAAAAGGCCAGAAAAGTGTTAGGTTGCCACTCAAACCATCTTCCCAAACAAAGTTTACCAGAATCTCAGGAAGCGCTAAAAATGGTGGCTGCCCCTCAAAAAAACACACACACTCGTTGACTCAAACAGCACCCCTGATGGTGGTCTAAATCTCTTAAAGACAAGTAGGATTTTAACCAAGGCAACTGCCCAGCCTCAATGCTTCGCCTGTTGGCGCAAAGCTGAAGGATCCTTCGTAGAAGGAACATGGTAACCCTTCGAAATGGACCAACTACGCCTCCCATGTAAATCGACATCGCGCCTAGAACACTTCCCCAAAATACAAATCACGGAACCTCCCTTGCTGAGCCGGATCTTGAACCAGTCGCGCAAAACGGATGGCTGCATAATACAACATCTCTCACGATATTCTTCAGTCTTCGCACTGCAGGTGTTGGCCCTGTGAAGTTACATTTGAGTCCCACCCTCGGGGGCTCAAAGCTTGAAGCCTTTGGTTGCCCACCTCTTGAAACTGGGGACAGAGCTGCCACCGTCCGGGCAAAACCTGAGAATTGAGACAGCTTTGAGCGCTCAGATGCAGTGGCTCTTTAATCTCCCTCAGCCGCCAAACTTCGGCTGCCCTTGAGGACTTGTGTGGAAGAGCAGCACGTCAAATCATGCCTGCAGCTACTTGAGACATGCCTGAGCCTTAGGCAAGCTTCACGATTGCAGTGGCTGACGCGCAAACAGCTGAGCTCAGAACGAAAGATGGCAAGGCTTGCCAAAGCCGTGGGGTGAGGCAGCCTGGCGTGCATCCCAAGAGCCACATTCGACGTTGCGGGAAAAAGCCAAACATGCTGCAGCTTTGAAGATCGGTCTGGCGCCCAGTGATTCTGCGCAGTTACCCGCAGAAAAGGGCAAAGCAATGGGACAGCTGCAGCGCACGGCTCAGACTCGTTTTCTGCGGTTGAAACTAAACTATGAACCAAAACCAAAACCAACCCTACACCCAAACCAAGCCAATTCTGTTTTTCTCCGCCATTCCAACATCAGGCCTAAATCCACCCTACACCGACCTCACACCCACAGCAGCAAGGTGCACCTGTACCTCATCCTCCACATAGCCAAGGATCTCCCACAAATGCGGGGTCTGGAGGAGCATGGACTCGGCCTCATCCAAAGTTTAAACATGTTTAAGCCACGGTTGTTTCAACACCACCTTTTTCATGTCCCTTTTTAACAAAGGGTATGGTTGCAACGGATTTTGCCCACTGATCCCCTGAAAACCCAGAAGAACAATACTCAATATGAAAGCCAAGCAACCAGCAGCCATGACCTGCTGGTGCTTACTCTGATGCTTAGCCGTAGGCGCAGGCAGCACGTTGGCCCAAATCGGCCAAATGGGCCCTCGCAGGCGCTGGCACCAGCGTGTTGTCGTGACTCGCTGTCAGGGCTATCCTCTAGTGCTGGCTAGCAGAAACCCCTACCATTGGCCATTGGCCATTGCAACAAAACTGGGATGAACGCCAAAAACTTAACGCCTCTAAATCTGGGTGTCGCCTTACGCAAAGCTTCAACTGACTAAAGGTCTCCTGTTCAAGCCCCGCCTATTTACTGACATGATTGGATGGGCCAAAAAAAACGAGCTTTGTCCACACTTGTTTGCCACTAAACTAGCCTTCCCAAACGCAAGTCCACCTCTCCAGCGTGTCCTCAAAATCCAGCTGCGCTGTGTGTCTTCGAGCTCGAAGAGCGAGGGCAACCCTACCCGTAGGCAAAACGGCTGACGCGCTGCATCACCTGCGCGCAGGCCGGCCTAAACACCCTTGCCTTGCGACGGGCTCCTGATGCCACGTTGCCCGACCTTCCAAAAACACTGTAAATACCGTGCAAATCGCCACAGGTTCTGCGCCGAGCAGTGCGTCTTCGAGACCAGGTGCACCGCCTCGCCCTGCTCGCGCAGCCTCGCCACGATCGTCCGGGCCAGGTGCGTCTTCCCGGTGCCCGGCAGGCCCGTGAGCAGCAGGGAGTTGCCCGCCAGGCAGTGCTCCACGGGGTCGTCCGTCTCGTTCCACCTCCTTTTCTCGGCATCCCCGCCAACATCCTCTGCATTCCCCGGCATTCCTGCGTCACCAGCACCTGGGCGTTCCAGCATCCCTTATGGCCCCCTGAGAGTAGGCTTTGGCGGTAGGCGGACATGGCGGGCAAGTCTGCGATCGAGTGAGCGGCTTTTCTTGCGCAAGTGCGGCCGCCGCCGCTGTGCGGAAAACATCGCACATACCGTGTTTTCATTTTTCCACAGGTTTCTGTGGGGCGGGCTGCCGGGGATACATTTTTTGGTCTGATTGGCTTTCGGTGTGAGACACGTGCGGCGTGCGCGCGCGAGCCGAACACAAGCGCCGGAATCAAGCAGGCACACATGCAGTCAAGCTAGGGTGGGTGAGCGCATGCTCCATGTCAGGGGGGTTGGGCAGGCAACCTTGCAGCCTCTTGTGCGTGTGGGTTCGCGCCTAAACAGAGTTCTTCTTAGCGCTCCCCATCTCACTTGTCCGACCGGCCAGCGCAGCTAGTGATGGCGAAGCCCTAGGATAAGCTTCTGAATGGTTGCCAGGCAAGTCCTACCCCAAAAGCTGTTCCTGGAGCACGCAGGTGTCTGGGCTTCGGGCTCCGTCATGGACACGTAGAGGTAGGTCTCGCGCCAGTGCGCCATGCGAGCCATGGCCACAGCCTAAAGCTGGGTGTTGCCGGGTGCCCAGGTGCCAGGTGTGCTCCAATTAAAACAAGGGCGGCTTTCCTACTTTGGATTGGCTTTATGCAAAGAAGGCACCAAGAAAAAAGGGCACAAGAAAGCCCAAACAGGCTCCCACAAATAGGATAGACTTGGGCCAGTTGAAACCTGGCACTGGCGTGCGCTGCCTCCCTTTTTCAGCTTCTTTCTTGGCGATTTGGATTGGTCTGCAGGTGTTCTGGTTTCCCATTTCCTCTACAGAACCATCCTGTGTAACATGTAGAAAATTTGAGAACCCCGTGCCATAAAACAACACCTTTTGCTCAAGCCATGTTTCCGAAGGGCTTTAGAATAATCATTGGTTACTTTGCTCAATCACAGCGCTCAACCTACGGCGGGTGCAACATAACGTTTCGTGGTGCCTTTAAAAGCCTTTCATGAAGGTCATTTCAAGACCAACAAAAAAGGCAGGACGTTGTCACATTGAAGGTTGATTCAAGCAGTCAAAACAAGCAGCTAACCGAAACACAAGGCTGGAAGACGTGTACAAATGTCCCCCACATTCGCAGCTAGATGCAAAATTCCGCAGTCTGATCTCCCGCAACAAATTCTCACATGATGCTGGATCGAACCCAGTGGACTGCTTCAACAGAGCCTGCGGGTGCGCTAGGGTTTCGTTTCGCGAAACGCGAACTGCACAGCGATAAACAGGTTTTCGTCCCTTCCACGGAGTGTCGTTGTAGCTAGCATCTTTCTTTATGAGATGACTATCGGATGGAATCTTAGGGCCAGAGAGCCTCACATTCTGGTATCTCCACGTCTACAATCTAGAATCGTGGAGTGGATTTGGATGGGTGGCCACCTGAGTATACCATGTGTTGGCGCTAAGCATGCCGTTTCTCTTTTTCGCAGGCTTGATAAGCCGCATTTTGCCTACCCCGGTGAGAAAGCGATGCCGGCATCACCGCTCTGAAGTTCACAGATCTCCCTCTCTCTCTCTCTCTTGCTAAGTCCCTTTTTGAGCACATTCGACCAGCCCCCGCTCCTTCCCCTTTCGCCTGGGTCAACGTGGTTGCCACTGCAAGGTCACAATGTCACGGGCCACGTGGGAAACAGTCTGTTAGTTATGCTAGAGTGGGTCACCCCGTGCGATTGTACCGAAATGTCCTTGGTACACAAAGGGAAAAATACATTCCACCTAGAGTTTCCCTTCCCCTTTTGGTGGCTTGAAACACCTTGGGCCTGCCATTTCGTTCCGCGACTTTCTTTCTGGTGGGGAAAACTATGTTGAGTCCAATTTACTACGATAAATAAATAAATAAATAAATATATATATATATACAAATATATACTCATAGGTGTGTTCCCCTGAAAAAGTGGTCCGAACTCCCAACACCCTATCAACCAGAGGCTAATGAAAACCCTGGCCAATCCTGATCCTGTCCGCTGGGAGTTCGCACGCAGGATGCTGCCCCCAGAGCCACGAAGAGAGGCCCGCAGCTGCGCTGGGCGCGAAGCCAAGGACCGCGGCTGCTGCTGAGCCTTGCAACCGGACCAGATCCCTGCGATTCTTTTTCCAGGGAACAAGCTGACGCAGAGGCTGCTCGAACATGTGAATGACAAATCTGGACCACCGCAAGCAGAGCTTTGACTTAAACTTGATTGAACACCCTTTCACTGGACCGCCCTTGGTAGCAAAAGGGCACCTATGCCTACCGACCCACTGAACTGCCTTCCTAAAATAAATGCCAAAAAACACATGGGATGCCGCATGATGCCGCGCATTCAGGAAGTTGCAGAAGTTGCAGCAAGTTTCAAATCCCCATGGAAGTGTGATTTCAAGGCCTCGATCACCTTTCAATCCTCGTGAGGCGGGGGGGGGGGCATTTCCTATTCCTTTTGACCGCGCTGCTGATTGTTCAAGCAGCGCTTGTGCTTGCAAAAAACAGTGGGACACCGCATCAGGAATGTGGACAACGTGAAAATTTAAAACACCCTGGGACGCAGCATGAAGCATGAAATTAGGAGAATACAAACTGATTGACTGACCCATGGCCATGGGACGCTCGAGCGAGATGCCACATGCACCAATTTGGAAACAAATAGCACGTGATATGAGCATGACGATTCCCTTTCCCTTGCCTGCCTTCCTTTCCTCAATGGGTTCTTATGAAGCAGCAAACAGCAGCACAGCAACAGCAGCCATGGCAACACCACCAACCCCGTAAGCAAAACTGAAACACCAACGGAACGCAAGCCTTGCAGAGACGATCATTATCTCGCTTAGCTTGACAAGTTCAAGCATCTTCCGGTGGCAGGTTTGTAAAACACCACCTGGACGCAACATCGCACTGACTTCCCAAGCTTAATCCTGCACCTGGGACGCATATCTTGGAAAACGCACCGACTTCCACGTCCGAGTGTGTGTTCTTTGCGTGGTTGACCATTTTTAGCAGAGAACTTACCACACAAAAAGAGAACCACAGTTCCACTGAACAACTCGTGTGAAAAAACAGCATGGTAAAGTGCTATGATGCGCTATGGCTTGCCTTATGATCGTTGTTATCGTTTTGGTTTCGCCTCATCGGTTCTCAGCGTGTTGAGCTATTTTGTGTCCTAACGTTTAACTCTCCCGTACGCCGTACTCTTGCCCGCAATAGTCTTCTTGTAGTCTTCCTGAAATCCTGAAATGAATCCGTAGTTGTGCCAGCACAAGCACGCTTGCACCCACGTATGCCACTTTATTTGGAACTCCTCATATTCCAAGATCTATCGCTGCGAGGCTCTGACTCCATGGCCAGGGATCGCAAGTGCTCCGGGCCTCAGGAGGGCTCTTTGCCCTGGCGGCAGCGATAGCTGACTTTGGCCCTTGGGAGAGCTTCTTGCACTTCTGCAAAGCAGGCGTCCAATGAAAGCACATTGACATGCAGTGGGCGGCTGGACACAATCCTGAAGCTCAGGTCCGCAAAAACCACTCAACGCTCAAAGTGGACAAGGGGTGTAGTCTGCCCAGTTCCCCCCACCACCGCCACCGCCACCGCGGCAGCGGCTGCCTGCTCCTGCTCGTAATACAAAACCATACTAAACCAGAATCAGGCAATATATTAAGCCAATTCTGAACCAACAGATTGTCTGCCGACCCCACCGCTATCCTCACTTGGATGGGGGCTGAATAAAATGGAATCGGAGGGCAGGCCCTGGGACGCTCGTAGTTTTCCACAACAACATTCATTTCTAGGGGTGGGCAGCGCATTCCAGATGTCACAACCGCTCAAGTTCAGCCAATCCTAACTCAAAACACACCCTTGCCTGCGAGTCATTTTGTCACGGCTGCTTCATCTAGTCTGGGCTGGACGGCCCATGAACTATCTACGTCTGCAGGAAGTCGCGGTTCACAAAGCTGATCGCAAACTGGTTCACCGGCAGGGCGCCCTTCGTGTGCACCACAGGCTCCTCGCACTGCTGCTTGGGACAACTGATGGCCGGCTGCCAGCCATCAGCATTGGTCTCCATGTTGCTACCGGTCACTGCAAAGCGCTGGGTGAGCTTCTCAAAGATGCCAACCTCACGCCTCACTTGTTCTTCCTTGCTTCCCTTGCGGTGGGCAGCCTCGGATGCTGCGCCGAAGCCGAAGTGCACTTCCATATCCAGCGTGCGAATCTTGTCCAAGTCCTCTGTGTTCTCCAGCAGCTCCTCCAACACTGACCACTCGGAGCCCTCAACGTCGATCTTCAAATGGGTGGAACGATGGCCGCGACCGGAGAGCAGCATGGACAAAGAAATGTACGCCCGCCCGTCCACGTTCTCTTCGCGAGGGCCCAGGCACGCAGGGAAGGCATCATAGCGACTCTCGTAGCAGTGGTGCGGGTTGCCCTTGCAGGAGCCTGCGCCTGCAGCATTTGGGGCTTTTCCGGACAAAGGAGGGGAAGAGCTGGGGTCTTGGAAGCAGTCAAAGAGCTTGGTGGGCATGCGGAAGTCGTTGCTCATGGTTTCACTCCAAAGGTCGCGCTGCTCAATGCCGAAGGACAGACCCAGTGGCGCCGGTTCGTCCGCAAACGCCTTCAGGCACCAAGCAGAGTCACCAAAGAGCTTAAACCCTCCGCAGCTCTTCTCTGACACTTTTGGATTTGGATGTGCTGCCGCCAGGATGCGCTCGCCAAGCTCAACGCTCCAGGACTGGTTGCTCTTGTATGGCCACACGTTTGCCGTTGGCATGCATGGCACTGCTGGGCGGGAGGATGCCGGGCAGTGAGGCGCACAGGCTTGTGTGCACGCCCTGCTCACACCAAAGCGCTGGCTCTGCGGATCGATTTTCAGCGCCCAGACCACTGGCAACATCACCAAAGCCTTCATCGCCATTGGCCTACCTAGTCTCAGCCTGCGCGTGGGCACAGGAACTACGTTGAAATCAGCTGCGGACATCGACGAGACACCTTGACAAGGCCCAATGAGATCAATGACTCAGGTGATGCAGTCTGCGGTTGACCAACCAATCCCGCATCCGCCCATTTTGAGAGGGTGCAACTCTTGCCCCAAGTCACACACACCTCTATGCTGAAACTCTGTTTGGTATCCTACCGGTTGACGGTTCATATCTCAACATGTGTTGGCAATGTGTTGGCAGTCACTAAGCCTGCTGCCACGACAGCACATCCTGCAGTGAGCAAACTAGCAAAGATATAAGATATCCCAACTCACCCAAAATGCTGTGGGCTAGATGGTTAGATGGGAGTCACGCACGTTGACACTCACTAACGGGAACAGTCAGCCTCACCGTTGACTTTGACACTCAATGACGCGTCTTTCAGGACTGCCTTGGCTAGTCAGCTGGTCTGGGCTGGACGGCCCATGAACTATCTACGTCTGCAGGAAGTCGCGGTTCACAAAGCTGATCGCAAACTGGTTCACCGGCAGGGCGCCCTTCGTGTGCACCACAGGCTCCTCGCACTGCTGCTTGGGACAACTGATGGCCGGCTGCCAGCCATCAGCATTGGTCTCCATGTTGCTACCGGTCACTGCAAAGCGCTGGGTGAGCTTCTCAAAGATGCCAACCTCACGCCTCACTTGTTCTTCCTTGCTTCCCTTGCGGTGGGCAGCCTCGGATGCTGCGCCGAAGCCGAAGTGCACTTCCATATCCAGCGTGCGAATCTTGTCCAAGTCCTCTGTGTTCTCCAGCAGCTCCTCCAACACTGACCACTCGGAGCCCTCAACGTCGATCTTCAAATGGGTGGAACGATGGCCGCGACCGGAGAGCAGCATGGACAAAGAAATGTACGCCCGCCCGTCCACGTTCTCTTCGCGAGGGCCCAGGCACGCAGGGAAGGCATCATAGCGACTCTCGTAGCAGTGGTGCGGGTTGCCCTTGCAGGAGCCTGCGCCTGCAGCATTTGGGGCTTTTCCGGACAAAGGAGGGGAAGAGCTGGGGTCTTGGAAGCAGTCGAAGAGCTTGGTGGGCATGCGGAAGTCGTTGCTCATGGTTTCACTCCAAAGGTCGCGCTGCTCAATGCCGAAGGACAGACCCAGTGGCGCCGGTTCGTCCGCAAACGCCTTCAGGCACCAAGCAGAGTCACCAAAGAGCTTAAACCCTCCGCAGCTCTTCTCTGACACTTTTGGATTTGGATGTGCTGCCGCCAGGATGCGCTCGCCAAGCTCAACGCTCCAGGACTGGTTGCTCTTGTATGGCCACACGTTTGCCGTTGGCATGCATGGCACTGCTGGGCGGGAGGATGCCGGGCAGTGAGGCGCACAGGCCTGTGTGCACGCCCTGCTCACACCAAAGCGCTGGCTCTGCGGATCGATTTTCAGCGCCCAGACCACTGGCAACATCACCAAAGCCTTCATCGCCATTGGCCCACCCAGTCTCAGCCTGCGCGTGGGCACAGGAACTACGTTGAAATCAGCTGCGGACATCGACGAGACACCTTGACAAGGCCCAATGAGATCAATGACTCAGGTCATGCAGTCTGCGGTTGACCAACCAATCCCGCATCCGTCCAATTTAAGAGGGTGCAACTCTTGCCCCAAGTCACACACCTCTATGCTGAAACTCTGTTTGGTATCCTAACGGTTGACGGTTCATATCTCAACATGTGTTGGCAATGTGTTGGCAGTCACTAAGCCTGCTGCCACGACAGCACATCCTGCAGTGAGCAAACTAGCAAAGATATAAGATATCCCAACTCACCCAAAATGCTGTGGTCTAGATGGTTAGATGGGAGTCACGCACGTTGACACTCACTAACGGGAACAGTCAGCCTCACCGTTGACTTTGACACTCAATGACGCGTCTTTCAGGACTGCCTTGGCTAGTCAGCTGGTCTGGGCTGGACGGCCCATGAACTATCTACGTCTGCAGGAAGTCGCGGTTCACAAAGCTGATCGCAAACTGGTTCACCGGCAGGGCGCCCTTCGTGTGCACCACAGGCTCCTCGCACTGCTGCTTGGGACAACTGATGGCCGGCTGCCAGCCATCAGCATTGGTCTCCATGTTGCTACCGGTCACTGCAAAGCGCTGGGTGAGCTTCTCAAAGATGCCAACCTCACGCCTCACTTGTTCTTCCTTGCTTCCCTTGCGGTGGGCAGCCTCGGATGCTGCGCCGAAGCCGAAGTGCACTTCCATATCCAGCGTGCGAATCTTGTCCAAGTCCTCTGTGTTCTCCAGCAGCTCCTCCAACACTGACCACTCGGAGCCCTCAACGTCGATCTTCAAATGGGTGGAACGATGGCCGCGACCGGAGAGCAGCATGGACAAAGAAATGTACGCCCGCCCGTCCACGTTCTCTTCGCGAGGGCCCAGGCACGCAGGGAAGGCATCATAGCGACTCTCGTAGCAGTGGTGCGGGTTGCCCTTGCAGGAGCCTGCGCCTGCAGCATTTGGGGCTTTTCCGGACAAAGGAGGGGAAGAGCTGGGATCTTGGAAGCAGTCGAAGAGCTTGGTGGGCATGCGGAAGTCGTTGCTCATGGTTTCACTCCAAAGGTCGCGCTGCTCAATGCCGAAGGACAGACCCAGTGGCGCCGGTTCGTCCGCAAACGCCTTCAGGCACCAAGCAGAGTCACCAAAGAGCTTAAACCCTCCGCAGCTCTTCTCTGACACTTTTGGATTTGGATGTGCTGCCGCCAGGATGCGCTCGCCAAGCTCAACGCTCCAGGACTGGTTGCTCTTGTATGGCCACACGTTTGCCGTTGGCATGCATGGCACTGCTGGGCGAGAGGATGCCGGGCAGTGAGGCGCACAGGCCTGTGTGCACGCCCTGCTCACGCCAAAGCGCTGGCTCTGCGGATCGATTTTCAGCGCCCAGACCACTGGCAACATGACCAAAGCCTTCATCGCCATGGCTCGACGGTACGGCTTGCTGCCGCCGTGGACTACGTTGTGCTGAATGTGCTGCGCGAGGCATTTCTCTTGCAAGGCCCTCTGCTTATTCTGCTGAGGAGCGGGCCAAGGCGGCCGCCCAATCTCTCGCTCATTCCACCGACCTGGCGCTAGGCAGGGCACTTCACTTCTGCCCTAGCTTAACTCAGGACAGGGTGCCAGGGCCAGACTGCACTCAATCCATGAACAAACGCAAGTTGTAAATCTCTCCTTGCATGGGCGCGCTCTTGTTTGGTCCATTCCGGGCGCCATCTTCTTGCATCAAGCAAGAAGTGCTGCCGCAAACCTGCATGCAGCAGCAATTTGGGAGGCTGCGAAGACGTAAACATCTGGACTGTGCTACGCCGGCGTTGTTGCAAAGAATGCCATGGAAGCTGTTTTTGCTTAGGTGAAGAGGCTCTACAAAAGGGCCGCAATCCATCCTGTGCTTTTGCTACTTGTTCTATCACGTGGAAAGATCCCTATGGGTATGTGCTTCTTTGGCGGTACCCTTTCAAAAGGAAAGCAACCTTGTTTTGGGGGAGGAGGTCCTGCTGTTGTGGCACCAGCCCATACCAGTTGCTCGACATGACATGTCACCAAAAGACCCAACAGAAGTTCGAAGCCGTCACTCAAGCCATGGCTTTCTTGCTAAGTGCAGCCCGGGGGCTGGCAAGGATCTGCACGGATTCCAAGCCATCGCCGCAATACTCCAATGCAGCGGAAACATGACCTCGCGTATTTCTTTTGGTCTGTGCGTCTCTGCCTCTGCCTCTCTCTCGCTCTCTCTCTGTCCACAACCGCATGTGCCTGCCTCTGGTCTCTAGGTCTTTTGTCTGTCTGCCTCTCTCCCTCTTTGAGTCTGACTCTGCATGTCACGTCATGTTAGCCTATGTCCCTGCAGGCGGCAGGCAACTTGAAGCACACATCAAGGACACCGAGAGTCTGAGGCTAGGAAAATGCGACCCAAAACAATGTCCTCCCAGAAAGCATGCCAACAAAGCGGCAATCTCTCTCTCTCTCTCGGCTGAATGCTCAGCTTCAGGGCCGTAGGTCAAAGTTGTGGGCTGCACGGAGAGAGAGGCCAGGCTGGACCAAAGGCACAGCACACTTGGCCAGGCGTTTGCGAAGACGCAGCCCATGACCTGAGACAGCTGGCGTCGGGGCTGAGCCGGTGCCCTTGCGGGCTTTGCCATGCCTCCACAAAGCGATCCTCCCGCTAGCATAGAACCTGACTGGAGGCCTCCGAAAGACTGATGTTCTGGTGGGGTCCTCGTGAAGGGTGGGAGATGCAATTAGATCATCGCAATCAAGAAGGCGCCTCTTCGATGCACGCCTTGTTGCAGCTGTGGACTAGCTGTCTAGATTGTAAGGAGACAGCAACCCACCATACCTCATTGAAATGTTGCAGAATCCGTGCCGTTTGCGCGGCTGCCGATCGCCCACCATTTGCTGCTGGGACAGGCTAATGGTACCCTCATACCCCTGGCCAGCATTACACAATTTGGGAATTCGGGCATCGTGAGCACTAATTTCTTCCCTGATGCTCTGGCATATTTGGCCGGCCCTTGCCACGGCTGGTGGCCAATCCCACGATGGTTAATAAGGTAAACCATTGAATGTGTTCCCTTTAAGGTTTCTTTCGGATGCAAAGAAACACACTATGGTCCTGCGCAAGCCATCGGAACCGATTTGCTCAAAAAACCTGAGCCCGAGGCAGTGTTCACCGCGATGATGGAGCGTTGAAGTGCTGGCTGGCCTTGGCGGTCCAGGCAAGGGACGCTGATTTATCAGAAGACTGTGGCATCCTCCCATCTACATAACATGGGTTCCTGCAATTCAAGTTTCAATGGACCCTCCGGTGCAATTCATTGGCAACCGCGCGCAAACATACAGTAGACAGTATGCTCATCCCAGTGGCTTGTATACAAAAGTGACTGGGTTGGTGTTAGGCCTGGTGTTTCGTTCGATTTACGTCACTACGAAACAGCACCAAACTTGGCCTGCCGATCCCAAGTCCCATGTCTGTCGGGCAGAAAGCCATGAGTGCAAAGCAAGACCATCATAATTAGCAAGAAAAACCTACAAGAATCTATCCAAACCCATGTAACAAATTAAAAGGGCGGATATCTGCACCTATAGTTGGGACTGTCCCTTATCCTTCCCGGGTTCTCATTGCGGCTGCTTTATCAGAAGCAAGCTCCGGCTACGAATCTGTGAGCTGAGGCCGTAACCGCTCCACAAGCCCAAAGCCACTCGCCAGCGCCGAGCGAGGGAGCACACCCCCAGCACCTGGCATGCAGCCCTTGAGCCCATCCGCAGCTCCGACTCACGGCTCCAACTCACGGCAAAAGAAAAACAAATTCAGACTCCAGCTAACCCCCCAATGTTTCACTTGATCAGCTCCGGGGCCAAGAGCAAATCACATCAGTGAGCCAAGGTGTGAACGCTCACCAGGGGAGGTCACACTGGTGGCAAGGAAAATCTGAGATCCATTCATCACTAAAAACTTGGCATGACCTGAACCCTCCACCCGTGCAAAGTGCAACCTGTCCCTTTCCCAGGCACCGCGCTGGCAACAACTTCTTGTGGAGCCGTCAGCATAAGCGCAAGCGGCCAGGCTGA